CATAAAAATTTCATGGTTGTTACAAAGAGCCCTTTGGGTTTTTGTCTCGCGGATCGTAAGCCATAAACACAGCAAGTTGTCGTCAAGGACTTTGGACTGATTTGACGGTGTTGATGTTAGATTTATTTCGGTTAGCGGTTCTTGATCTGGAATAGAACATATTGTTTTCTCTCTAGAGAAAGGCTAGTCATGACTCGCACACTTGCTTTTTTTTAGGCTCAACTGCAAGTTGCAACTCAGCATTCTCCTAGTTCTTCAAGTCGTCCTCCCCTTTATGAAGAACCAAACCTGAAAAGGGAAGGAACCATGGATCAAGTTTGGATTGTTTTGGGGCGCTACGTAGAGACGATCGCGCGCGGTATAACAGTCTCACGGTTCTATGTGTGTCCTAGTGTGGTCATCGCCGTTGATAACAAATAGCCCTTAGGGTTATGGTCTTGCGAATTGGCGGCCACCAACCCATGAAGTTAGCGTCAATGGCTTAGGCTTGATTCGATGGTGGTGATGTCAAGTTTGTTTTGGCTAGTGTTTCTCTATTTTAGGATGTGACTTGCTTTTTTTTCTCTAGAGAGGGGCTAGTCATGATGTGTCCTCAGCTTGTTCCAGTATTTATAGTCGTCGCTAGGTGATCTATGGGTCTGGCTGTAATTTTTGTTACTTTGGTGTTCATTGTGCTACTATGACATGTGATGAATAGATCGGAGGTTTTCTCATAAAAAAATCAGATGACAAGTAGTAATAAGACCTCGTTCGGATCCTCCCCAGTACCAGCTCCTCCTCGCAAAATCATGCTTCCCATACAAAGATCGGCTTCAGAGAAACTGTCCGGGAGGTCAGCTCCACTTCCAATTGGTTGGGCTAATAGCCTAATAAGCTTGCATTAGGCCCGTTTGAAGGAAAGGCAGGCCATATTTTAGGTCGAATAGTATGGGAAAGAGAGCATATCGGGGAGAAAGAAATATTTCGAGTGAACCGATATGCTGCCCCGAGGTCACTTGGCGCTTTGGCGGTTTCAGGTAATAGTGTCTAACTCCGCCTCCTTCGGTTTTTGAGAACGGGTCTGACCAGCTTCTTATTTTTGCACTGTGAGGGTTGTTTGCTCCGGGAAGCGGGGGCTTCTCGGAGCTGCTGTGTTCGGGCCAGTTCCACGAGCGGAGCCGATGAAGCTGGGAACAGGAGGGGATCCGAACGGGGGCCTTAATCAAAGACAACATGAGCATATTTTGGAGATAATACGATTTACTTGCCCGGTGAGATTTGTACCTCAAAAACATCATCATCAGGAGGATACTACAGGTAGGGGCAGACAATGCAAAGGCAGCCATAGTGTTGTCAGCTGTTCAGTAGGTCCACGCAAGATTTGATCTAGGCGACCACGCACCAAACAAACAACCTTTCCAGCCCATGCTGCGTCAAGCCACTCCAAAACACGTACAGAGATCGCTCGCAATCGCCCAAATTATTCCACAATCACAGAGGGCTCCAAAGCCACGCGAGAAAGCACAGAATATACCTTTGAATACTCCAAAGCGGAGCAAAGCACGGGGGCGAGAAAAGCAGAAGTTCTCATATGCTCAGGAATATGCCAGGGAAGATGCCCCCTCACTTAGGTCACCGGGCCACCGGAGCTTCCACTCGCCGATGGAAGCCTCGTGCGCTTGTGCGGTTCTATATATGAAGCCTTGCCCGGCGTCTCCCATGGAGGACTCCCTCGCCTGGGAGGAGCTCCTCCCAGGTATATACCCCCCAACAATGGCCTCTGACGGTAGCCACTGTCGGCGTCTTACTTCCCAGCTGCTTCACCGGCGGCGACGGCGGTGCGCGGCGGCGGAGGTAGCTAGCTAGCTAGGCGGGTGTCAGGCCGTGTAGGGCAACTATACATCTTTGGCAAATGTCTTCTTCTTCCTCCTCCATGGGAGGATTGTAATGGAGTGTGTAAACTGTGCGTGCATCCCTTCCCGTGGGCTTGGCTCTCGTTCGTGGAAATTCGCCGTCTTGCATTTCTACGACCAATACTATCTATACTAGTGCTCTGTTGCTTCGTTGAAAAGAAATATACTAGTGCTCTTGTTGTGGAGGCTGCTGTATTCCTGTTTGTGGCGAGCTGGTGTTTTTGTCATGTCAACTTTTGCTGCTGATTTTTCAGCACTGGGAAGTTGTATTGTGTATTTGTGTAGCACTCCCGAGTGCTCCACTATGTGTCTATGTCTTGAAACTCGAGTGGTAGATCCGGTCTTTGTTCGTCTTACGCTTGTTCTACAAGTTTGAAGTGATCGACGCCCGCGCTGTGATCAGCCGGTTGTTTCTAAACGTTTTAGTTTTTCATAGTATAATTGCCGCTCGGCCTTCTTCCCTTTGCACAGCGTGGCGCTCCCTCTCGGTCAGGGCACTCGCCGGGGGCTTGTTCTGTAGACACCATCCTTTGCTGCAAGCCGCCCCACTGTCAACGACGGTAGGCATCGATGCTTATACAGTCCATGTCGATTCTTCTGAGACAAGGCGGACCGCCGTGAGGCCGCACACTACTAGGAGCACGTTTGCCGCCGCTGCAAGGGCCGGTGCTCGACTCCCGGCAATGCTTTTCGACCGGTGCTGCAGTAGCACCGCCGACGAGGCAATCTCTGTCGCAAATGCATCAGCAACAGCTCTGGCGCAACGACGGCTGTGCTTCTGCAGCTGCAACGCCGGTACCACTGCAAAGATCTGCGATCTGGGTTCGGGTCACAGCATCACCACTTCTGTGGGAAGGCGTTGGTGCTTCAAGCACATCACCAGTGCCAAGGCCGTTGGAGGAAGCAGTGCCACTGGTGAAAAAGTTGGCCATCGGACGCAAAATCAAACGGCTGGGAGATGTAATCCGGCAGTAGAGAAGGCAGCTTATATTTTCTAAACTTTTCAAGTTTCACCCAACTATCTATGCAAATCACCAGCAGAACATCGTCATGCAAGACGATAAAAACTCGCCTTGAATTGCAATCTCAAAGTCAAACAATTAAGCATGAGCTCACAGACAAGATTGAAACTACTGTGAGCCGGGCAGATTACTAGATTTAAACCTCTTCGGCATCTATCTTGACGGAACAACATAATATTGCATATAGAATTTTCAGAATTAACGACAGGCACAGCTCATAGTTTTCAAACAAAGGCACCCAATCCCAAAGTGCATAACAGATTCCAGAATAACTCAACAAGCAGCGGCAGCTAGTCAGACAAAAAAAAGACAACTTAGGTGTTCCTTGGAAATATCCTACTAACACATCTCAGGTACTTTCATCCAATTTTCCATTTTCCATTTTCAGTAGAAAAAGCCTAGCACTTTGCCACCAACATTCTTACGCCTTGCCTCCTCATGGTCCATGATCCCAGCAGAAGTTGTCAGCACAATGTAGCCAAACTGCAAATCAGGTGGGAGAATGTACATCAAGTTAATGATCCAAGATCCGACACGTGCAGAACACTCAGTTTATGCATCAAGTTACATACACAATTCAATGAGCAGTAGTAAGTTAAGGCAACTGACCTGACGAGAAGGCAGGAGCCTTGCAGTCCATCCCTCAATCTCCTTGACACCAACATCAAAGCGAGGACTGATGACACCACACTTGTTCAGCCTGCCATTCAATTCGACCACGATCTTGCCAGACCTGTGATCATCAACATACTCAAACTCGCCAATGTATCCTAGAACAAAGAGAACAGAGTCAGCTACAGATTCTCAGAGAGCAACAACAAAACAGAATATGCAGGTGGTAGAACTAACCGTGCTTCTGCATGACGATAAGGAACTTGATAATGACCTTGGAAGAAGGCCTGATCATGACCTGCCTCTTCCCACGCTTCTCAGCGTTGTACATGCTCTTGAGAGCATCGTTCAGCACACTGACTCTCACCATCCTTACCTGCAGAATAACAACAGCCTTTTAGAAAACAAATGGAAGTGGAAAAAAGACAAACATGCATTGTATGTAAATAGTAATGGAACAGTTTTTACATTTTAACACTTTGGATATTCATTCTAGCAAGGTCTACATTGGCACAAGAATGAAAATTGTTACAACAATTCAATACAGTTAAAGGAACATAATCCTATGTATGCAAGTGCTTCCAATTATCAGACACTGGCTAAGATGAGTTTATTCAACTAGTTCAATGGCATCTTCCATGCAAGTCAAAGCAAATTCTACAGTACACAAGCAGATAGGACGATTGGTTACTAGCTACTCCAGCAAAAGTGAATCACGTTCCAAAACGAATCATGCACAAACCTGTGATGCACTTCAACTAGGTGGATACACAATTAAGCACATCAACACGTGAACAGACAGAAACGAAGTTCATGATTCCTTAACACATGTAAACAGAGCATGGCGATATGACAACCCAAGCAAGGTTCATGTTCAGCTCGCTAAAGATTTAACAACACAAAACATTTCATGGCATTTGAAAGCAGGTGCATCTCCTAGGTTTATCTCAAGGATACAATGAAGCAAAACAAAATTAATTTCATTTCTCGCATTTCATCGGCCCAAATCACAAGCCACTACAAGTCTACAACACGAAAAATTACCAAACGTGCTCTCCAGCAAACTATTCCTTCTAGTCTCCAACCTCATGAACAGGATACACAGGCAAGAAAACACCTACGTACACGACATCAATAGTTAACAAGGACTAGAGCTGCTTTTGATCCTACATCGCTCCCAGATAAGACCAAGGCATCAATAAGACATTAGCCACGCTAGAATAAACTACAAGCTTGCAGTTCGCCAGGGATCAGGCCATAGATACACCGCGCCGCCGTGAAACTAGAGATCCGGAATAGCTACGCGCCGATCTAGGGAACAAACAGAAGGGAGAGGGGGGAGGGAGGGATCGGGGCGACGTGCTCCTGCGAGTGGTACCTCTAGGGAGCGAGTCGAGCTCTGGCCGTGGCGGCGGCGGCGGCGGCGGCGTCTGCGGAGCGAGAGCGGCAAGCAGGAAGGCGACGGCGCAGGGGGGAGTTCCGCGAGAGGGTTTGGCAGCTTAAAAGGGGTGGAAGGATGGCGTACCTGCGGTTGGATTTGAATCTGACGGTGATCGTTTGCTTCGAGGTGGTTTGCCCTAGAATGACGCCAGTCCCTCCCTGGTGCTCCCATATGGGCCCTGCAAATACGGCCTTTCGGTGGAACCCAACTCGGATGGCGCATGTAAGACCTCTGTAGTGGGCTGGGCCTCATTCATCCTTAAAACGTCTTAGGCTATTCCTACATGGTTGCTGTGGTTTTTAGTGTGTGGTTTTTTCCGGAAAGGCCTATAGCTATATGTTAAATATATCACATGCGAAAATACCAAAGTGAACATGGTTGTATGCGCACCCGCATGAATAGTAAATTTGAAAGAAAAAGTTGAAAAGTTTTAAAAAATTGCTTTTGGGGGATATCAAACTTGGCATACCATTCTACTCACGTGTGAAGTTTTGTGAAGTATTGACATCCGTGGTGTTCTTAGTGAAGAAATTGCAATTGAGACCTTAGTATTCACCAAATAGTGTTTTCTAATATAGCTTCAATTTTGACATTTTTTCCCGGATTATCACAGATGTCATTTGTTTGTGAAACTTAACATGACGTATACCAAACAACTATGTATGTTACAAAAAAACCATATTTTTTAGAATAAACTTTTAAAAAAATTGCTTTGTTGTTCTCACGGGCATGCATGGAACCATGTTCCAAAAACTCATGTCTGCATTGCATATCCTTATAAACACGCCTTTTACAGAGAAAGGGAAATACATCCAAACTTTTGGGATGTCGAAGTCTTCTCCCTCCAGCATCCATCGATAGGAAAAGAAAACATCGAAGAGGGCCTGCAAATATGAAAAGAAAACAACTCTGTTTTGATTTTTTTAAATAGATTTGGAACCATCTTAAAATTTATTTAAAAAAAATTCAGATTAAGAAAGCAAAAGGAGAAAACGACTCTATTTTGATGTAAGATTGACGAGGCCGCTAGTTTTGTTACGATTCATGTACGATGACAAACAAGTTATAACTTTCTTAGAGTATTTCTCAAGACACAACTTCTCAGTTTCTATTTCAATTTTTAAAACAATATTGATGTCAAAATTTAATAGTCCCCCTGTCCTATAATATAAGAATGTTAGCTTCCGCAAAAAAAACAAAGTTTGACTTAAGACATGTCTAAAACATCATCTTTTACGCGACACAGTACCACTTAGCGCAGTCACGCTTTATTAGTTACGTAGAAACCAAGCCAGACGTATAAAAAGCAGTTGTATTTTTTGTCTTCGTTCCTTGCAGAAAGGATAGATTTGTATGCTCCAAAGATAACGTTGGATTAAACAAGAGTACTTGTGTACGTGGTCGGCACCTAGCGTCGATGGATGCAGCTAGCTGCCTAATCCTATCGTTCTCTTAATTAATCATCACATGGGAACACCGGTGTAATCAAGGCAATTTAGTAGTGTTCTCAAGCGTCGACAAAGAAGAGATGCATCCATCAACACAAAAGATCGACCCAAGAGAGAATCGAAAACGATTGACACAAGAAAGAAGGGCCATGTACTTCCTTTTATGGATTGTGAAATGCCCACTGTCGGTTTAAGAGCACGATGGCGAAATAAATCCAATATAAATGAAATTGTATCAAGGTCTCATGGTAGCCGCCAAGGTTGTACCTAAAGATTATGTCGACGGTCGACGCAAAGTTTCAGTTTATAAACATCGCTCCTCGTCCCCTCATTTAACTTTTGTTAGGATAACAACTTGACCCGCAATTACTCCATTGATATGTAACTTACATATATAGCATAATTGATATTATTAGATTTCTTTTTCAAATAACCTATGTATGGAGTAGTGCTTTTATTACATTACTAGATGATACCCCGCACGTTGCAGTGAAAATATTTTCTGTTATATTTTAATGATAACTAAAACTAAAAATACATATGATTTATCGTTTTTGACTATTGTATAGTTGCAACATACCCCGCACGTTTTTGACGCTCTTATATTATGGGATGGAGGGAGTATGTGTTAAATGTAAATAGTGTAATAGAGTTAAAATCATCACGCACGTTCGTATATTGAGGTCAGCTATTTCCTATGCATGATGACATGTTAAGGTGATCCATTTTCCATGCATGTTGCATGATGAGATGACATACTTGCATGTTAAGAAAAATATATTAGTGAAGCTAGCACTTTAGATATAGAAGATACATGTTATAATTACTAAGAAGAATGAGCGTGCTTTTTTGGCTCAGTTTTAGGTGCTCTAATTTTGATTTTTTTAAATGAGCCTTACGAATTTCAACCAAATCCGAAAGATGCACACAACCATAGGGATGTACTATACTACATGTATGTAAATTTTCATGATAAAGTACATTTTGATGAGCTAAAAAAATCCTGAAAAATATTTTATTTTGTTGTGTAGCTCACATGTTGAACGTGATATTTTGTACATCTCAAATGTTAACTTATTTCATCATAAAAATTCACACGCTTGTACTTCCTCCGTTCCAAATTACTCGTCGCAGAAATGGATGTATCTAGAACTAAAATACATCTAGATACATCCATACCCGCGACAAGTAATTCAAAACGGAGGGAGTAGAAAACATCCCGATGCACATCCCTATTTTTTCAGAAAAAATAAAACTTCAAATTTTATTTTTTGCATTTTGTCAAAATCCAGGTTCCATGGCGCCGGGGAGCCAAAAGCAAAAAGAATGAAAAGGTAAAAGAAAGGAGTGTGGGCAAGAGACCATAAAAGCGGGAGGAGGAGAGGAGAAAACCAGCGAGAGGGAGGGAGGGAGACAAATCCCAGAAAAATCGAGGAGGAAGGCGACGACTCGGGCGGAGCGGAGAGAGAGCGCGGCCATGTGGAAGCCATGGGCGCGCGCGGCGTGGACGTCGTAACGACACCTGCCGCCTTCCAGGCCCTCCCCCCGCCACCCCCACGCCCGCGCCCATGACCGCGCCGCCGCAATGCGCCTCAAAACCCCACCCCGCTCCCCTCCCCGATCTCTGACCCGGCAGGCTTGTTGATCCAGGCGCAGGCATGGCGGAGGCGGCGCCGCCGAAGCTGCTCTACATTGCCGTCGCCGACGGCGGCGGCCGGCGGGCGTTCCGGTACACGCGCCCCGTCCTGCAGAGCACCCTCCAGCTCATGGGTTGCAAGGCTCGCCACGCCTTCAAGGTTATCCCCTCTGCCCCTCCCCCTCTTTGCTACCCCTCTCGCTGTCCGCGATCTTGATCCCGGAAAATGGAGGGACGCCAGCCTCCGATTGGAGGCCCTCGCGCGACATGCTCGCGTTATACCACGATTAAAGACTGAGGTCGAACCCCCCTGCTTCTGTTTCGTTTTAGATGCGGTAGATCCTTCCCGGACAGCACATGTCTAGCATAGTGTTCTTGGTGCTTTTTCTTCCTCTTGACTGAATGCTAGTTCTTGGTTCAGAACCTCAAATGATGTAGTTAGGCATGCCTAGCATAGTGTTTGGCAGTAGGACAATTTTGACATGGGAAGGTGACATATACTCTACTAATTGATGAGCATACTGTGTTCGTTGCTCGAGCCAAATTCCCCTAGGTCAATTCACCGCCCTTGGATTAGACAGAAAAACTCTCATATCCTTTTGGACAGGGTCGTTCTTTGCAGCAAAAGGATTGGATCTGATTCAGCGTATTTCGTGTGTCATTCCTTACCAAGCTATTGTTCTTGTTGCAGACTGAATTTGTCTCTTTTTTCAAGGATACGTCCGCCAGGATGTATCAAGATCCCGAAATTGTCTTTTGGTGATACTTTGCTTACGGGTCATTATCATCACATACTGTCATAGCTTGCGTGAATTGCTATTCCTTTCTTCACTTTATTAGGCTCTGATGAGAGAGACAGCACCATGTTATATGATGGTAGACATTTAGGCTTTGCCTTGCATGATCTTTTTGCTCGGGAACTGTAGCTTGGCGGGCTACCTTTCTAGTCTGTATCCTGGAATTGACATGAGCTCTGGTGTCGGGTTCTCCTCATCGTCCATATTGGTTAGCTGCGTAAGCAACATGCATCTTGGACTTGACCTGAGCTCTGGTATCGGTTCTCACTTGACGTGATTTTCCTTGCTCTGATTTGGTCATGGCAGTTTGGCGTATCTTCTTTTCCTCGTCGTCCATTTCGATAAGCTGCAAAGTACTACGCCATCCATGTGCACAACTTTTTCTTATTGGTGTGTAAAGTTTAACAAAGTTTTCTTGTCATCCCTTGTTGGCACTGTCAGATTAGCAAGAAAGTATTCAGTGTGATGAGGAGTGAATTCTTGGATGCATCGAGGTCGGATAGGGCTGTCAAAGAAGAAAATGCTCCTAGCCTGGGCATTGGGGAAGATGCTAATATGCTTAGCACAGAAATTCCAGATGCAAGTAGCAGCAGCATGCCCTTCGAATTGTACAAGACACAGACAACAATTCTTATTTCAAGAGAAAAGTTTCTGAATATTGTGTGTGATGCACTCTCTTCTTACAAGTATGTTGGACCAAACCAGAAGGCTGACTTGCTTCTTGCTTGCAGGTAACTTTACCCTATCTCTATCTCATTGAGTTCACAGAAGCAATCCAACAAGCATATTGCTTCATCTATTTAATTACAGCTCCTAGTAGTAGTCGTCTATTATCTCCACAACAGAACAGGCTTATGATAAATGTGTGTGCTTAACGTGCTTTGTTAAAGTCAAATGATTCCCTTGAAAAGGCCTAAATTATTCTTATGAGCACAGTACATGCATTATGCCCAAAGAAATATGCATATATTTCCCAAGTCATTTCATTGCAACCATTGGGTAGCTACCTCAATGAATTCAACGGCATTTAATTTTTGCCATTGTGCCTTTTCCAATTATTCTGATCAGAATTAAGGAGAAAAAGGAATCAGTGACAGTACTCTTGTGTGGGACAAGCGGGTGTGGCAAGTCCACTCTATCATCTTTGTTGGTATGTTGTTTTCTAACTTAAGAGTCTCTGCCATTTCTGGATGGGCTATATTATCTATGGTACACCAGTGACACAATAGTTTGTTACATGCAGAAGCATTTAATAATAAGTATCTGCAAATCAAATATCAATTTAAAGCACTTTGACTGCTTTCTGGTCCATTGTATGTCTTGTTCCTTTTAGAAGATTGCATTATGAATCAGAGAGATAACTGATGCTGACTCTTGCTGAATGTTTAATATGGTCTGTTTGTTTTACCCAGGGTAGTAGATTGGGCATTACGACAGTAGTTTCTACTGATTCCATACGCCATATGATGAGAAGCTTTGCGGATGAAAAGCAAAATCCTCTTCTCTATGCATCAACCTACCATGCAGGCGAATACTTGGACCCTGTTGCAGTTGCTAAGTCAAAGGCAAAGAAGCTAGCAACGGTTTCTCATACCAATGGAGGCAAAGATGGCACTTCAGATGTTAAATCTCATCATGGCTCCTCAGATTTACCTCCTAGAACCGAGTTGATTGGCAACAAACAAATGGCAATAGAAGGGTTCAAGGCGCAAAGCGAGATGGTCATTGACAGCCTGGACAGATTAATTACATCATGGGAGGAGCAGAAGCGATCTGTTATTGTTGAAGGAGTTCATTTGAGCCTCAATTTTGTGGTGCGTACTAGTCAGGAAACAAGATGGATACTTTATTAGTGTTCTTCATGTGATACTTGCATTGTTTGCCTATTATATTTTGTTGCACTTTGAAGAATTGACTAAGCTATTTATTTTGAATATCTAATAGATGGGGCTAATGAAGAAACATCCTTCCATAATACCATTTATGGTATACATTGCAAATGAGGAGAAGCACATGGAGCGATTTGCTGTACGTGCAAAGTACATGACATTGGACCCGGCAAAGAACAGATATATCAAGTACATCCGGAATATCAGGGCTATCCAGGAATACCTTTGCAACCGAGCGGACAAGCATCTGGTGCCTAAGATTAACAATACTAATGTTGACCAGAGCGTGGCAGCCATACATGCCACAGTTTTCAGCTGTCTTCGTCGACGAGAAGTTGGGGAGCAGTTGTATGATCTCAACACAAACACTGTTTCTGTGGTGGATGAGGAATACAGGAACCAGCGTGCATCTAACTCCTTGGGTTCCAAGGGCATGTTCCAGTTCATTCAAAGGAAGGGGTCTTCTAGGAATCTGATGGCTCTCCTTAACCCTGATGGTTCAGTCACCAAGGCTTGGCATGTAGATTCATGTGACGGCAATGCCAATGGCAGTAGAAGCAGTGATAAATCAGTAGGAAAGGTTAACCCATCACACATTGGGAAGGTAGAGTCAGTAAATCTCCAATTTGGTTCCTTCGGGATTAGTGCGTGGCTGAGTGATACAGGTGGCACCAGCCATACTGGGAGTGTAGATGACCTGAGGGCTGATGGCATTGAGACAGGCGGTAGATACTTCTCCTCATGCTGCAGCTCGCCAAAGACATCAGATTGCGCATCCAAAGAGGTACAACGATATTCTGTTATTAATATGACAGTAATATGTTCATATTTCTGTTAGTAGATTGCTGATGTTTTACATTCCAGTCTAACAAACGCTCTTTGCCCTTTCCAGCATATGGAGGATTATTCAGTCTATGGTAGTGAAGAAGAAGCTGACAACCCACCTGATGCTGAAACTGATGAGGATCTAACTGATGAAGAAAGAGATGTTCATGAGGTAGCGACTATGTTATCCAGCAATTTTCCTAGTGGGATTTATTTCTATTTTAGGAGCGAACATTTGATTGCAGTTGCTTCCTGGACTAACCAGGACTGCCAGTTGATAGCTTGCGCATCAGTTATCTGAGCTTTCTAGATTGCTAAATGTTTTCTGCACAAACCAATGTCTTCAGATTGAAGCGGGCTCGGTCGACGAGCATTCCACCAAGTCTGACGAGGAATACGACGACCTAGCCATGCAGGACGTCATGGAGAACGGTAACTGCTCCGACGATGACGACGAGCAAGCTGTGCGGTTCAGCAAGAGGAGCTCGCCGCCTCTGGATGAGAGCATCCTCGGAGCAGCTGACGGTGATGATGCCGTGGTGGAGGGAAGGTACCACCACAACCTGGACTTCTTCACGATATCCAAGGACATGGCTGTCACGCGGATGCCGTGCGCGTGACGCTGCCACCCAGACCAACCCATGGGAAGAAAAGCCAGGTGTCCTGTGAATCAGACACCATTTCCACGGTTCGCTGCGCCACTGTGCTCTCCGGTGGCGCTTCCAGTTACTCCCCCCGTTCCTAAATACTCCCTCTGTACCGAAATAATTGTCGCTGGAGTAGCTGCGACAACTATTTCGGTACAGAGGGAGTATAAGTCTTTCTAAAGATTCCAATATGGACTATGTACGGAGCAAAATGAGTGAATCTACACTCTAAACTACGCCTAGGTACTCCATATTGAAATCTCTAGAAAGACTTATATTTAGGAACGGAGGGAGTAGGAGTTTGCACCGGCGGCTGTACTCATATGAGCTTATGTCGGTGGTTATGACTGTTAGACATACTGATGCTTGTCCAAGCTTACCAAATACTATAGGAATCTGGTACTTTGCCGATGAAACTCAAATAATGGAAGGTTGAAATTGCATCTGTAATTGCGCAAGAATCTCTTGGCACCAAAAATAGGCGCAGGAGGTCCTTCCTTTTTAAATGTGCACAAGGTCATGCTTTGAATAACAGTTAATCTAATTAATTTTTCAATTTTCACCCAAATTGGCCCTGCTGGATTCGTTTTTAAAATCATGTATGGTTGTGATTTTGTAACTTTTAGCAACAGCCAAATAGGTCTCATATTTCTAAGCGGAGGTGACTGTGAGCTGTAGTTATTAGCAACAGTTGTAGTTATTAGCGACAGTGCAACAAATTCAGCTAATTCCTCCGTTGTAACTTGTTATTATGAGGATGCAAATGCCATGTGATGAAACCAAGAACCAAGAACATAAAAGATAAAGTCATTATGGGGAAAATGTCGTGGGAATCTATCAGCATTTGGAAATGCGCAAAGTTTAAATTGCATTTGGAAATGCGCAATCCAAAAAATTGTCCGTTGGCTCACAATACAATAACTTGCTGTTTTCATCCAATATATTGATGAAACTGAGAACAGAAGCATAAAATTACATCAGAAAAATGAACTCTGGTACAATAAAGATTGTACGCATCCTTATGAAGATTAATGTGGTGAACTCGCAAGATAACTCGAAAGACCAAATTAGCATCATAGATAGTAAATCAAATAGTAATATAGTACTCAATCACAAGAAAAGATGAAAAAAATAAAACAAAGAGTGACACACGGCAAAACACAAGAAAAACGCTGGTACTTCAAGAGCTGCATACAGGCATTTCATTGACAGACGTTCATTTGATTTCTGTGAAAGGTTAAAACATTACAGAGATCGAAACATTTGATTCTGCGAAACATCAGTAAAATAGAAATCTTTACAGAGATGGAAACCTTATACACTGATTAAACCCAAGGCAAAAGGATCTACATGTGTCCTTTACTCCCCGTAATCTAAACCTAAACATTTCATCTAAATTGCTTCCATGCTTTTCCCTTTCTTATGTAAAAATGTTTCTTACTCAAAGAGGGGAAACCGTAAAAACATACACTTTCTCTCCTTTGGAACAAGCAAAATCAGACATGTATTCTTTTTTTTTTTTTGAGGAAACAGACATGTATTCTACCTACAAAGGAAGTGTGCAACCATAGCTATAAGAACAATTATAAGCCCAACAGCAACAAGAATAGTAATCAGATTTGCAATAGACAGTATTCAGCTGTGGATCTGACACTGCTGGACAACAAGTGCAAAAGAGCTACGGTTCGAACAATACTCTACATGAAAGATATTCTACAGATAATTCCTGAATACATTGAAACAGAAGAATATACAGTAAGACAGAATCAGGGAAGGTTACTATCAGGTATAGGCATAGGTCCAAGGTAAACGATAACAGGAAAGATCATCTACAGATTTGTTAATGGCAATCGTGAGAAGGGTGTCAAATATTGGTAGTGAAGAAGACAACTTTAATCAGATTTATGGATTGTCCTGAACTTATAAGAATCTTATGTTCGGAAGATAATCACCCAAACACTAATATTTACCACAACATCCTTACTCATGACTACTAGTATTGTTAGGCATAACAATTATAGGTCTACTGAAAGAAACATCCAACTTAAGGGCAGGCGATCCTTCCATATCAATTTTGCTAACCCACTTCTCTGAGTTAGTTTACATTGTCATGCTAAACAACTTAAGTTCCTCAAAACATAGACAAAACAAGAAATGGCTTGTGCCAATAATGATTCCAAAATTCAGCAGCCATAACACATAACAACTAAATTCATGTAGTCAGTACATATTGATTTATTTTTTCTACACAGAGCATGCGCAACAAAGAACCAGTACTCTTAGACAGCTGGTTGAAAGCACACCTGTAATAATGGCTCGTTCTCATCCGTCGTACCAAGCATTTCAATAGTTAGAATCTGGCACTATTAGTTCAGAACATATAATGGTAACTACTACCTCCGTTCCCTAATATAAGACCTTTTAGCTATTTTAATATTAACTACATACATACTAAGATGAGTGAACATACATACTAAAATTTGTCTAGCTACATACAAATCAAGAAAAAGGTAAAAGGTCTTTTTTAAGGGAACGGAGGGAGTATATAGCAAGTTAACACGAGAAAATACAATATATGGAAGTATACCGCCCAAGATGCATTAGTACGACAGTGTTGTGCAAAATCGTACAAAAGAAACACCACCAGATTTCCAGTATCTTGTAATGTATTAAAGGCAAACAAATAACTCATCTTGGCCATATAGATAGTACGCATATGACAAACCATATGTATATTCTGCAAACCAAAGCAAACAAAAGCTGCTAATAATACATGAGATTTCAGGAGAACAAACCAGCTCATTCTACAAAGAATAAGCAATCTGCAGCTCAATATGAGCAGCATTACTCTTCAACTTCCTTCTTTATCTCTGCCATTAGTTCATCCTTGTAATCCTCAAACGAGCCATCATATTTAGTCACCGTGCCATCCTCCACAACCCATATCTGGCTCTTCTCCTCATCGTCACAAACTCGAGATATCAACCGCGAGTCATGGCTAACCAAGACCACACCTCCAGTGAATTCATCCAGAGCGTCTGCCAAAGCATCAATACTTTGCATATCCAAGTGATTTGTAGGCTCATCCAGTAGGAGAATGTGAGGATTCGACATTGATATCGAAGTGAACACAACACGGGCCTTCTGACCACCAGATAATTTAACAATGGGAGTAAGATGGTTGTGACCTGGCAAGCCAAATTTTCCAAGCTTGCCACGGACAGCCTCTGCTTTGCTCATTCCTCCCTGGTCTGGGTGGAGCCTGAGCAAATACTGAACTGCATTTTCCTCCATCGTCAACAAGTCAACAAAATGCTGCGAGTATCGTCCAATCCTCAGCTTCTGGCTCCTTCTTGCCTCTCCTTCGGATGGGTTAAGATCACCAGCAAGTAAATTTAGAATAGTAGACTTTCCTGCTCCATTGGGCCCAACAATGGCAACACGTGTTCCCATGTCAATGCCAACATCAACATCTGATAACTTGAAGTCCGGACGGTTGGGGTAGCCGAAACCCACATCAATGAGCTGAAGGAGTGGTGGTGTGAGCAAAGTGGGTTCTGGGAAGTGGAACTCAACTTTGTAGTCATGCCACTTTTGTGGCAGATCTGCTGGCTTCACGTTATCATCATCATTTGCCACATTCTTTCCCTTCCCCTTCCCCTTGGCAACTTCTTTATGGGCCTTTGACATTGCTTGGTCTTTAACCTTATCTTGTGCAGCCTTGCTCCCAGTCTTCCTTGCTGCTTTCATTTGCTTTTCATACACCTCAAACTTCTTGTTCATCTCCTTCCTCTTCTGCTCATACCCGCTCTCAAAGTCATCAAAATTACCACGGTAAACATGCAAACTCTTATCGTGCAAATGAATGATATCATTGCACACTGTGTTCAAGAAGTCCCGGTCATGGGAGACAACAATAAGGGTCTTCTTCCACTGCGAGCACAAGTACTGCTCCAACCAAAGCACAGCTCGGAGGTCCAAATGGTTGGTAGGCTCATCAAGGAGCAGCAATGTTGGCTGCATGAAGAGAGCACGGGCAAGCGAGATGCGCATCCTCCAGCCACCACTGAAGGACTTTGTGGACCTTGCCTGCATTGCCTGATCAAACCCCAGCCCCGCGAGGATTTTGGACGCACGAGCGCGTGCAGCATCAGAGTCACATAGATTTAGCTTCTCATATACCTCGGCAAGCTTGTCATTGTCATCGGGGTCGTTAGAGGCCTCAAGCTTTGCCTGCTCAGCCCGGAGCGCCGTGAGCTCCTCATTGGCTGCAACCACCGCCTCGGTTGCCGAGCGGTCATCACCAACAATCTCCTGCTCCACAAGCAGGACATCAATGTTCTTGGGCACAGGCACCTGCCGCCAGGAGAGCAGCTTCAGGAGGGTAGACTTGCCCATGCCATTGGGCCCCACTAGACCATAGCGGCGACCATGCGAGATCCGGAGGGAGGCGCCCTTGAGTAGCTCCTTTCCTCGCGCAGAGACAGAGAAGTTGTCGAGCACGATGTCCTTGATGTTTCCATCGGCGGCATCGCCCTCAGCGGCGGATCCGGGGACGCGCGCTCCGATGACGACGGAGAAGGCGTCGCGGTCGTCGCGGAGCGCCTCCCGCTTGGCAGCCTCGGCGACGGCGGCTGCCATCATCTCGCGCTTCTCCTTCTTCTTCGAGTCCTTGTCCGAGGGCGCGAGGGCGTTGAGGTCGACGGTGGCGCGAGCCGGCTTGGGCTTGGCGGCGACGGCGGCGACGTCGGCCTCGTCCTCCTCGTCGTCCGACGGGGGCAGGTCGATGCCGCCCATGTACGACGACGCGGGCGCCTTGGAGGGCTTGGGCTTGGGCGCCGCCTTGGCGGGCTTGGATTTGGGCGCCGTGCCGTCCATCGAGGCTAGCATGGCCGACACGGAGAGGGGTTTCTCCTTCTTGCCGGCGGCGCCCGCGGCCGAGGAGGACGAGGGGGCGTTCTTGCGGCTCGTGG